CAGCCCGCTGGTTCTCTCCTGCGTTGATCAGGGGGTGCTGCGGGACCCGAGTGTATCCGCAGCACCAGAGCTGACTCGTTAGGTCACTATTTTTATTTTTTTTGTGGTGGTGTCGGAAGAGAGGGTGTTCTTCCTCGAAGGTGCCTGCCTGCCGGATTGAGAGAGGTTAAAGCGATGGCATCAGTCAAGCGCCAAAACTCAGAGCATCAAACTTGAGCCTTTCAGCCACTCGAAGATAACGAACGCCAAGTTTCTGGTCTTCCCAAGTGTTTTTAATTTTCTGTACGTTTGGTGGTAGTGGTAGGGTTGGTTTGGGTTCTCTGTTTTCTGTTTTGTTTTGTTTGTGGGGTGGGTTTTTTTCATAGATAGAAAAAAGGGCATTTGCTCAAGATGGTTAATAACATACTGAAATACTAAACTTGGTCAGATAGGTTATATTGCAGTGCCAGCTGACAGGTCATGCTTAACTGGTGTGAGAAGTGCTGGCTGCAGCTCTCGAGTAAAACTTGCATAAACTTCTCATCTCGTCTCAAGAAATTAGGAACACATGTGTTCAAAAAAATCTACCCAGACAAGACCAAACCTAAATCACCTTATAACTATTACTTGCATATATATCACATTCTCTTATTACACACACAAAAAAAAAGTCTTGGTAACTCCATTTGCATAAGAGATCCTGGTTTCTCTTAGATCAGTTGAGATTAGGTTTTATTTCTCAGTATATTTTGCTTCTCTAAGGCAGAATGTTCTAACCTGTGAAGAATGGAAAAATCTGAGAAGAAAGGGGATACAGTGTTCTGTATGTTTTTGAGTACTTAGTGTGAAAGAGCTGAGTGTTGTGTATGTCTGAGTTGATTTGAGTATTGTAGTGAAACTCAAAACTGTCCACTTAAAAATAGATTTCTAGAACCATTCTCAAAATTTTAAACACTTTTATGCATTGTTCTTTCTTGTAAGCCTTGGAACAATCCTTGAGGTGCAGTTCAAGATCTAAAGTATTCTTAGTGTTAGCATTTTAAATCAGAAACTCTAGCCTTTCCAATTGTTCCATATGATATGAATGTTATCTTTTTTCCATCTCCTTCTCTGCAGTAAATATTTAGTGAAGAATATATTTCTATGTTTTAAAAAGTAAGGAACCAGTCTTTTACAGAAAATATAGGGAGGAACATCCTGAATATTGTAATCCTAATTCTGTAGTCCTAGGGATTTAAGTGGCCTCACATTTTCAGCCAAAATAACTCATCAGTATTGGAGGAAACTCGCCATAGCTTAAGGTGTAGCCCTGTGTATTTGGAGTTCTTCTGCATCAGCTGACGAGCATTAGAGTGATTATTCAGTAGCTCAGCATCTGATTTCTATGCTGGTTTGTGCTTTCTTTCTCACCCACTCTCTCTCCCGTTCTCAGTCATTCACTAAAGATATTAATGATGTTATACAGAAAATGTCCAAGAAAAGAATCTGGTTATTTCCCCTTTGATTTTACAAGTAATTATGGGACTGCTGATGGTGCGTGTGTGTATTTGTTTAGTTAGTTCTTTTTAATTACTGATAACTCTGAAGGGAAGAATTGTCAGCATGCATAAAATTATATTTAGTCACTTTTCTTTTTCCTAATTCGGCACTTGGATTTTATTCCTGCGAGACCAACTAGAACAAAAGTAATCAGCTGGAGTCTTGAGCCCCTTGTCAGATACCAGCTTCAGGGGATCTGTCTTCGATCAGGTTTGCGTGTTACAAAAAGCTGTTGCTGCGTGGAAGGAACAATATGGGAAGGCTTTGTTTCGCCATGCTCTCTGTCCGAAATATTTATGGGTTTTATTTCTTCCTTGCAGAAATCCTGAAGGACCTGGATGATTACTATGAAAAATTTAAACGAGAGACAGATGCCGTGCAGAAGAGAAGAATGTTGCACTGCATACAGAGAGCCTTGATTCGGAGTCAGGAGCTAGGGGACGAGAAGATCCAAATCGTCAGTCAGATGGTGGAGCTCGTTGAGAACAGAACCAGGCAAGTGGACAGCCACGTGGAACTGTTTGAGACTTGTCAAGAGACTAATGACACCACTGGCAACAGCGGGAAAGCCAGCCAAGACAAGTCAAAGAACGAGACAATTGCACAGGCTGAAAAGCCTAACAATAAGAGATCCAGGCGTCAAAGGAATAACGAGAATCGAGAAAATGCTTCGAATAACCATGATCATGATGACATCACCTCAGGAACTCCGAAGGAGAAGAAAGCAAAAACGTCCAAGAAGAAGAAACGATCCAAGGCTAAAGCAGAGAGGGAAGCTTCTCCGCCAGACCTTCCTATTGACCCTAATGAGCCGACATACTGCTTGTGCAACCAGGTCTCCTATGGAGAAATGATAGGATGCGACAATGATGAGTGCCCCATCGAGTGGTTTCACTTTTCCTGCGTGGGACTCAATCATAAACCAAAGGGCAAATGGTACTGCCCCAAATGTAGAGGAGAAAACGAGAAAACTATGGACAAGGCTTTGGAGAAGTCTAAAAAAGAAAGGGCCTACAACAGGTAGTTCGTAGACTTTTCAGAGCAAAGAAAAATAAAACCACCAAACCAGTGTATTTATTGTCAGTGTCACCTTTGTTGAGGTGAAAGGATTGTAAAATGTATATTTTTTAAGTAGGTTTAAAACTGAACCATTCCTGTTATAGGGACGGCAATAAGCAATTTTGTTTTTCATTTGGTAAACTATAACAAGAATGTGGTCTGTGGACCAATGTATTCAAAAGTAAAGTTATAAGAGTTGAAACTGAATATTTGAATGGGTCTTAAAAGATAAATTAATACTTTTTTCTTTCTTTTTTTTTCAGTGCTGGTAGCACTCTACCCATTAAAATTTTGATGACAAGTATCGCTGAAATTTAATTTCATTTTCTTCTATGAAAAATGTTATTTACCTTTTGAGCAAAATTGTTAAATAGTTTAGCCATCTCGTTGTACCTGAATAAAGCTGCAATACGTTACAAATGTAACTTCTTCCGGTGATAAGTGGTGCAAGAGCAAACAAAAGGAGGGTAAAATTTGGTTCCTGCTACAAAGTGTCAGTATAACAGTTCAATAGCAAATGTTTAAATAGGCTTAGAGGATTATTTTTTAAAAAAAAAAAGTTAATGGTTAAATTTTACACAAGAAATATTTTATATGCTGGCCAAGTACCACAAGGGCCATTTTAAAATGATTGAATATGTTTTATATTTAACCAGGAAGTGGTTTAGTAATGAGACTTAACATAAATGAAGCTTTATACTGTCACAGATATTAGTGTAGCGATCCTTAATTTGCTTAAGTTGTATAAATGTACATTTTTAAGTGGGGTTGCACTTACTGTATTATACTTGGAAATGCAGCCAAATGCCATTGTGTAACCAATGTGCATTTCCTGCTGTATGTATGAAAATTGTACAGCTGTGATATTAAGAAATAAATGAAACAACTTTGACAGTTTGCTGCTTTAGCAATCATGTTTAATGATTATTCATATAGCTTTAAAAAAAAACCAATAAAATTCTTTAACCTCAGCAGCTCCAGCAAGCTGCTGCTTGGAAGCCTGAAACTGTTGTAGTGGTAACCAAATTATAGAATCATAGAATGGCCTAGGCTGGAAGGGACCTTAGAGATCATTTAATCCAACCTCCCTGTCGTGGGCAGGGACGCCTCTCTACTAGATCAGGCAACACAGTTCTAATAATGAAAGTTCTAATAGTGAAAATACACAGACTCTGTGGCCAGCAGGGTCATAGGAGAGCCAAAAAAAACCATTTAATTTTCCATCTAACTCTACTCCTTTTGTGCTTACAGTCACTCCCAGACCTAGAGATTTATCTGAAAATCAATAGTATAGAGCTGGTCTTGTTCAGTTGCTTTTACGCTATGGGTATAAATTATTCCACTTTTGTTATCAGCAGAAAGATCTTTTGTGTTACAGCATTTCTGAAGCTTTGCTGTAGTCATTTTTCATTCTTCATAGTCACCTCATAGTAGCTGTTGACTGGTGCCAGGCTACTACAGGGTGCCTGTACCCAGGCTGGGTATCTGGGTCCTTGGTCCCTGAGCTTTGTAGCGAAGCTTCCTCAGACTGTTCCCTTCACCTGCCTGGCTGGAGGGGCTGACGTTCTGGCTGAGCTGATTTCGTCTCCTTTTCCCACTCTGGGCCGTCACCACAAGCGTGAGGGGGATGGGACCAGCAGTAGCGAAGGTTATGAAATCCAGTGGGTCAAACAAGAGTCTTACTAAGAATATGGGAGTTTGGTTTTTTCTGGAACACTGTATTCTCTTTGAATTTATAATTGTGGTGTTTTGCTTCCTGCACAGTGACACTGTACCACTGAAGTGCTGCTGCTTTTTCCCCAGTGTATTCCAACAGACCTTTCTGTTGGAAGTAGGGGAGACAAGGTTTTTGGTAAGGTTGAAGGGGCTCAGTGTTTTCTAAAGAGGTACTGAAAAGCCCCAAGGATATCACCTTGCATGGATATTCCCAGCCAGACAGACATAATCACAGAGACAAGTAGAACTCCTGGTTTATTTCTAAATAGGTGCACTAAGTGTGTGTGCATTCATGTTTCTAGTCACTACAGACTGTCACGTTACACTGAGCCATCTTTGCCCTGGGCAGACAACCGTGCTGAATCACATCTCCTGCTCCTGAGGTGATTTAGAGTTGGTGTGTAATTTCTATACTCTCTTCTCTTTTCCTCTTCTCTCTAAAGCCACCCAGTTTTCCATTCTTCCTACGCACTTACCAGTCTTTCCTGCTCCTCCCTCCCTCCACTTGCTGTTGTGGCCAATCCCGATGTTTCTGGTCTTTTCTGCCTCAGCTGCTCTGTTGTCCTCCCACCAGTCTACGCTGAGAACATCGGTACTTAGCAGAATTGTACTAGTGAAACCCCTGTGAAACTTTATATAGGAACAAGGTTTCAAAAGGAGCCATTTTCCACAAAATGTCTCCATTGGTTCTGCACGGCCCTTTTGATGTGAAAAGCCAGAAGAAAACAACAAAGGTGCAAAGGAATATGTTAAGAAAGTTCAGCTAAATGTGGATCAGTAGAGCAGTATTTATATTGCCCTTAAACGAATATATTTCCAGCTACTGAAGGCTGGCTGTGGTCTTCTGTATTTCAGTCTTTTGCAAAAGACAGATGTTGATCCGCAAAGCAGCTTGGAGTTACATCCGTTTCCATGTTTTCCCAAGACTTATATTGTCTTCCCAACTCACCCTGCCAGGCTTCAGCGCTCTTCTGCTGCTTGACCCTGAGGGTTGCCTGGACGGATGTAGTGCCGTTTGACAGGTCTAGTTTCAGTCGATGGGCACAATTAATTAGTCAGATGTGAGGGACTCTGCCATGACACTGAGCTCTTTGTTGATGGAAACGAAGCCGTCTCACGTTATACTGACACACTGCCAAGCGCTGCGTACTGCGCGAACTTTGTTCTGGCTTTGGTATCTTGTCTAAAATGCTGGCTTTACAAAATATCTTTACAAATCCTCCTGTCTTAGTTATTCAGAGCGCATTTAATGGTCACAAGAAACTGCCATCCTTTGAGGCAATTTTTGTTATTTCTGTGTAGTGGATCAGCTAATTTGCAAGCTTCCTTACGCTGCCTGGCAGGGTGACAGTGCTGTCATTCGGGGAAATCATCTGCAGGTTTGAGAAAACATCTGAATCTCCACGTGACCCTTTCCTTCTGAGGCTGCTGACAAAACGCCTGAGTGAGAGGAAGGCTCTTCTAAGAACTGAAGGCTTCTAACTCATTTCCCACAGGCTAGTGAGTGACTATCAGGTATGGTAGCACTAATATAGTATATAAAAATCAGCAGGTGTTTGTTGAGGAGGAAGTCACCGAAAAGGAAATCACAAACTTCTCATAAACGGTCAGGCAGCTGTAATCACAGCTGATCTGTGATAGGTGTCACAGGTAAGTTCAGATTGTGTTGCTGAACCCTTGGGCTGATGATAAAGTCCTTCTGACTACTGAAAAGCACCGTTTCAATGCTCAGGACAAGGGAGGTGGCAGCAGACCTTACACCTGAGTCATCCCCGTCCTCTGACAGCAGATTTGTTTTGCAGTAGGGTGGCTGGCAGTGAAGAAATGGTGCAAAAAACACCAGTGAGGAGGTAAAAGAAGGCAACGAGGGAGCCCTTTGGGTGCTCAATTGCAAAATGTTCCCAGTAGGACAGAGAGAGAACCACTGTGAGCCTGAAACAGCAGAGCAAAGCATCAGTTTCAACCATTATATCACCTGAAAAGCATCCCAATTAAGCAGAACTACTGTCTCCATTGAGCAGCAGCAACTCTGGCCATATGTATCATTAGGATTAAATAAGTTTTGTAGTAATTAAGCACAGTTGCTGATAAACTGTGTCCTAATTCTGTGGAGCGTGCAGAATAAATACAATTGAATTGGACTGCTCCACTGGTCTCGTTTTTTGGTAGGGTATTTTTAGTTAATCTTTTTAATTGTAATAACAATGGAAGAGCAAGACAAAATATTGTACACTGTTTCACAGAACATAAACCAAAGTTCTCCATAATAGAAATGCCTCAAAACAAATTTGAATATCCTTGGACTGCGTTCTGTTGCTTTAGTTAGATTTACTAACATCCTCATGGCCTATTTGCTCTGTGTACGTAAAGAAAAACAACCCTTGTGCTAGCCAAAGCTCGGAAGAGCTAACAATTTCTCACTTCTGAGTATCAAAAGTAGTGCGAGCATTCAATGTCATGTCAAAATATAGTCAAGCTAATAATGCTTCACACAGCTTCTTCCTTTCCCAGGTGTTACTGAAGTCCCAAATGTAACAAGCAGGAGGAATTACACAGTAAGGAAGAGCACCGGAGCAAACCAAGTATATATAGGAAGTGCTGAGACACAGTATTAAGGTTTTCTCCTGAGTTCAGGGTATCTAGATTATTTTTCCTGGCAAGCATTTATTGTTGTTGGTAGTCACAGAAAGCTAAGGCACCTCTGTCCCCTCTCATAGCAGGGGACCTCTCTTAGTGGCCAGGACAGGAGTGTGGAGGGTTGGTGGCTCTCCCTAGTTGTGGGCTTCTGGTTGTCATTGTGTGAAGCCTGATTCCCAGGTTAAATAAATCCTTCAATTCACTTTATAAACAGCTTCACCGATGGTGGTTACCATCCCTCTCCCTGGCCCCTGTGCAGGACCTCACCGCTCTTGCAGCCCCACTGGCAGAAGACACAAGGTTCTTGATACTAAACTTCTAAAAACAGGTACCAGCATTTAAATTTCCAACTCTTAATCGAGAAGCGTAAGTAAACACTGTGGCTTAACATCCTTGAGAAGGGCTGCTGGCTTTGCTGTTCTCTCCAAAATTGCTTGGTAGTTCAGCTAACCATTTTGAAAGGCTTTGCCTACTATACATCTAACATAAAGTCATAAATTCTTAGATGCTGCATTAATGAAGAGTGTGGAAGTAATCCCGGTTAGAATTCCCTTCAGTTGTTGGGGTGAAAACGTAACCTCTATTCAAATTTTAGGTAGCTAGTGAAGCAGGAAGCAAAAAAAAAGCGTCTGAAATTTCAGCACTCCAGTAATTTGAGTTTCTGTGCAATTGTGCTGCATGTATGATACACGCCTGTGCACTGAGTCTACCCTCAAAAAAAAAATTTTCAAGGTGATTCTTCAGATTGCTTATTAGAAGTAGTTCTATGGCTATTGACAGTAATGTTCCTTTTTAAGCTCCTTTAATTTGTTACTTTTGTTGTCAGTAGCTGCACTGGGTTGGCCTGGCCGGATTTTGGTGGCGGGTGGGGCTGTAAGGTGGCTTCTGCAAGAAGCTGCTAGAAGCTTCCCGAGTCTGATAGAGCCGATGCCAGCTGGCTCCAAAGAGGGACCCGCTGCTGGCCAAGGCTGAGCCTACCACTAAAGTGATATGACGTCTCTGTGATAAGAGATTTAAGAACAGGGAAAAAAGAACTGCGCCTCAACAGCTGGCACAG